AGTACTCTCCTATCGTACCAACCGAGTTGAAGTAAACCGTCGACCGTTGGGGACCCCATCCCCTCCCCAACATTCAGCATACGGTCCCAGCCGAAACGCCAAAAGGGCTGGTTTGCTTACCTCTGCGGAATTCGCGCCGCGGGGTTTCAATTTTGAGCCAACCCACCAGTTCGTCGAGGGAGCCTCGTCTATTGTCCCTTTAACAGTGACAATAGCCCTTTTAATAAAATCCAGTTAGTGAATCAAGGAGGGGACTGATGCGATTCATAAGATCCTATATTAGAAATTTTGGGCGGCGATGGTGCAGGGGTACCGACAGGAGGCCCGTCGCGCGGCAAAAAGTCAGCGGACGAGTCGCAGCGCGTACTGTAGTGATTTCGCGTCAAGTTAAATAGAATGTACCATTGTACGTCCTACATCGCACATCACGCGCTGCGACTCGTCCGCTGACTCTGCCTTCTTGCCGCGCGACGGGCCTCCTGTCGGGTACCCGATGGTGCAGCAGCAAGTACCACATACCGTGAGGATCGAGGGTCGCTTTCGAACATCACCAATCAAGTAAAACGTCCTTCCGGGTCTGTTAAATGGTAGTAGCCCCATTTGGAAAGGTAATAGCACTGACGTGGATAATGGTTGATCCGCCCCCTTGACGTTTCGAAGCATCTGAGTCGCCATTGCACGCACTGCTTTGGTCGAGTAGCAAAACAAAGGAGCCCCTCTATATTGGTTTTGCAGTGTTTCATTGTGTTTTCTATACATATAATATCATGCGAAATGTTGTACATATACATTGATTTATTGCAGAGCTTAAAATTTTAATAGAATAAATCTTCTCTACAGATAAGACTATTCCAAGCTGGAGAGTGCGCATATTGAACCTTCTTAGGTCCTGAAAGTCTTACGCCGATGTCAGACTTTGCGAATCGAGTTATTCGCTACTAGCGATTCGCTAGCGTCCGCGGTCGCGTTGCGGTACCAGCCAATTGAGTGATTCTGGCCGCGACGCGACCGCAGACGCTAGCGAATCGCGCGATTCGCAAAGTCTGACATCGGCCTTACAAATTCGTGCGCTCCAGCCGGGAAAAGTCTCAAACAATCACAAGGATGCAGATACATGTCAACATGTCACAATCGTGAATAGCGAACTGAGATGGCAGAGATGGTCGGAGTCGTGTGTCAAATTTGCCAGCAGTACGATGAAAGAGATGTGAAGAAACTTGAGCATTTCGATTATTTGTGATTATCAAAGTTTGGCAGTAGTTGCGCGTGCTATGTGCCTAATATAATAAAAATTCTTACAAAATTACACTACTATTCACTGCCTAGAAACAATTTTCATAGACATGGTGAACAACAATGAATGAACGAATGAATGGATGAATGAATGAACGAATGCGCGCGAAGACTAACGACGACAATTGACATTAACAGAGATCATGAAAAATCATCCACTAGGGCACAGAAACAGTACGAAAGAACGACATGGAAGGAAAAGAAAAACCTAAACAGGGCAGGAAGAGATGGAGGAGAAACGGACGGTGTGTGAGGCGTTCAGCGATGGAGTGTTTCGAGTTCGAAGGCTTGAGCATGTCTGATAGGACCCGGATGACGCGGATTCACATTCAGATTTCGATGGGCGCGGACTTGCGCGGTTGGTGGATCGGCGAAGCCCTGAAAACTGCGCCATCGCTCAGATGAGATTCATTGGGGCTGAGAGAAATAGATAGACATATTATATAGCTAAGTAGTAGTTGTAGTATGAGTGCCTCATCGTTATAAGCAGCAGCACCTGCTCTTCACGATTGAGGCTCTGCCTGTGAGGAGGATGAGGGCGGCTGTGGTGGCGGCGGCTGCGGTTCGCTACGCGTATGATGTCGCATGAGCTTTTCTGTGACTGGTGGCTGATGCTCTGGCCTTCGTTGTTCGCGATATGTTTTCAACGGTGCATGTTGTGTAGCCGAGCCGCTAAAAGAGATGCTCGTAAACGAGCGCTCCGAGAGTGAGAAGGCAACACACCATGCAACCAACAGCCAAACACGACCAGGACAGCCAAGAGATATCAAAGCGTTAACTTTCTCTGCAGAGTGTCCCTAAAATCGCGCATGGAAACACGGAGGGCACTAAACCTTTCACACGACATAATATTCCCCACACTCACTATCAGGATACTTCTATGATTCTTCACTTTTTCGAGCCCTCCTCCAATCAGGGCATACCGTGCGGTCCGGCCGCAGAGAGGAATCTTGCTTCGGATGTTGAAATAGGGGGGCTCGTATTTGGCGGAATGGAGCCTTATTCTCAAAGTCAGCTAGCGAGATTATCAACATTATCAATAAAATTCATCAATTTTTGGAAGTTTTACTTAGCGAAGCCTTGAAAATATTAGCAGAATTTTCCCACCAATTATGTGGACTTTCACCCCCTCTGCTCACCTGTCCACCCCCCCCCCCCCTCCACCTCCACCCACACCTCCACCTCATTCTCCACTCAGCGCTTTTTCTGAGATTTGGCATTAACCATCTGAGGATGAGGTGAGATAGCGTATTTGAGGTAGGGCTGTGCACACGGTTGACCTACGCGCCTTTATTCTTCTGAATCTTCTGCGACAAAAGGATAATTCAGACAAGCAACTAGCCTCCGTACTTTAGCCAAGCCTGCCGTGACTAAGACTGCTTCTTCAAGAGGTATTCACCCATTCAGTCCCTTCCTCCCGTTTCTGAACTCCCTCCAGCCCTTTGCACATCTATCGATGGTGGAAGGGGCGTACGGCTGCTAAACGTTAAAAATTACGAAACTTCGCAAAATTAATACCTTTCGAAATTTCACGTTCTTTTTTCGAACGTAGACCCAGATTTAGCCAAATTTCGACCACCGGAAATCAAAAAAATGTGCAGGAACAAGAACAAAGTTTGTGCGGAGAGTCCCACCACCACCCCAATCTAACTGTGAAGTCTTATCGATGGAAACTCTGAGAAATTTTTGTGCCATTCAGGAAGCTAACAAGCCCTCACAGCAAAAACTGAACTAGCACCAACAAAATCACCACCCATTCCTACTTCACACGCTCACTTGACCAATGATTACTACTTTTATTAACTTAACTTTCCACCTTCATATAAAAATCCTCTATTGACTAACCTTAAAGTTTTCTATGTATTAGGCAACACTAATAAATATAAAATAATTAAGAAATTGTACGACAATCAAAAAGTGAGGGAGTCTTGTTCACAGATATGTATGAGGCTTCAGATTTCATACAACTGAGTATTCATTAGCTGCAAGGAGCTATCACTGCTATTACGTGCAATGCTAGTCTTGATGGGCACGCCGATTTTTGGAACACGGCATAAACTTAAAGCATCTGAGAGCCGGTGTCCACTGCTGAAATATTAACTTGTAAGCACGGGTTGAACTCATCGGGCGTTCAAAAAAGTTCTGTCGTTTTTGACACTCCACTATTTGATGCGCTAGTTCCTTGAAAAATCCAGGAACAAACTGTCAGTTGCGTTATTATGCCGTTTTGAAAGCTTTCCGCTCTGTGGCTCACCCGCCTAGCTTATGCTCTGTCGCTAAATGACCTATCTCACAGATTTTTCAAAGCTTTGAATGCGGTATACTCGATGAGCAAGTGGCATGACTTTCTTTTTCTAGCTTTAAATAGACCTGAAAGTAGCGGGAACAGTTCAAAATATTAACGATGCACTTGGCCTAGATTCGCAATAAATGTGCTCATATGCAGTAGTTCGAAAAGTTATTGTAACGAAAGCGAGAGCCTTGGGTATGATACTAGTGGTAGTCAGATATCGGACGTTGCCACCCATTAGCCAAAAGTTCTGATTGAGGCACTCGTGCGTAAGACCATAGAGGAGGTTCTGCCCAACCTGGGCGTATATGGTTTGTACAGCCAAGCTATACGGAAGAAGCTGGAAAGTCCAAAAAATTTGATAGGGGCGTGCCGCGACAAATCACCAATTTGAAGGGTCGTCCATCAAATTGTCGCTTGTTTATGTGATGAATAGCGACTCGTTTTTCTACAGATTGCGGAATTACGCGATTAAGCAGCGCGATCCCCTCTAAGTCCATGTATAGGCCTGTTGCCTGGATAGCCTCGACGGCGACTTAGAAATCACTATCGAAACTGTTGCAAAACTTAAACTGTGTCTAAGGCGTGTGGCTAACCTTCATGAGGTAAACGCTGCGCCTGTTCTTCCCATAACAGGATACTGCTAGCTGCCATATGAGAAAACAGTCCAACATCTACGCCATTCACTTAAAAACTTTACAAGACATGCCTGCCCAGCTTGCCTCATGTATAAAGTGGATCGACACATCTCAAAGGTGTCTACATCGCACCGCCAACCCTTCACAAGTTGGACCAGCTGGACTTCAGAGTGATTCTGCGAACATCTTACTTAGTAGACCTTTGTCTATCTACTGTCACATTTCTGACGATCTCGATAGCTTCCTTGAAGAGAAATGCATCAAAACCCAACATGATGCCAAATCGACCTTCCCTCAGTTCATCGCCTCAACAGCTCCAGCATTCTGAACAAGCGTTCCCAGTAGAATGGTTCCTTATAGAGAAAGGTTCGCGCATTCGAATGGTTTTTTAATCAGCTTGAAAGGTTTACTTTATGCCGAGATACATGCATTTAAAATTCGGGGTCGGAAAACGACAGAACTTTCTGAAACGCCTAATTATATGCCAAAATTAGTTCTCTAAATTCAGAAAGAGTCGCGTTGTCACAGCCAGTAGCCTCGACACGTGTCGCGATCTGAAAAGTGCTTTGCAAGGGCGCTGCCTGAGAACCAGGTAACCCGGGACACGAGGCCCGTCGGTGGGCCAACAAGACAGGGTCAGCGGGACAGCCGCAGCTGGATACTGTAGGTGTTTTGCTTTCAGATGAATAGAATGCACATGGTACTTCCTAATCGCACATCACGCGCTACGACTCGTCCACTGGCTCTGCCCTCTTGCCGCGCTACGGGTCTCCTGGTGGTATCGGCTGAGACTAATGCCTTCGCTGCCACGATACCAATTGCGGCATACGTCGCGATCGATGCGCCATACCAATCGCGGGTACGTGGGCGTCGCGCCATACGCGAATCGCGGGGTTACGTGGCCGTGTTCCTCATCACGGTAGCAGCGGGCTTTCTCGCGTTTTCCCCTCTCCTTACATCTGGGCCCTTGGCGCCCCGGGTGCACTGGGACTCGACGATCCTGTGTCTGGTCGGCCGACTTCACTATAGAAAGATCCAGCGTATTCTTAAGGCGTACAAAAACATACCAATTCGATACCATCCTGTGCTTTGGAAAGGGCCTCTCCCTCCCCCAAGGGCTTAGTCTATCGACTAGTAGCAGATATATTCTAAAAAATCAGGCATGAAATACCATCAAAGGTAGAAAAAGCAACAGAGACAGTGGTTGTCAATTCCCACAGCGGTCTTGTTTGGTCATAGCAGTGGACACCAGCGCTCACGTATATTTCGCGCTTACCGTATACAAAAAATCAGCGTGCCCATCTAATTAGCATTGCACCCGTGTTTCTACAAAATATTTTTAAAACTTACTCACATTGTTCGGTTGTTGTGTGGTTAAATTCAGTGGTGATTCACACAAAAATTTCTTCTTCCCCAACACTTTCCCTTTCATTAGGGATTTGCAAAATCCGCAATCTAAACAGTATGTTAAATGAACTTCACGTGCCCTATTACAGTTTCGTCCAAAGGAGCGCTGAATTTTTAAGCAGCTTAATAGATCATAAAATATCAATCACACAGGAAACATGCCCCTGCATACACACGTTCACGCGCTTTTTTAAGGACACTCTTCTTGAGAAAGTAGGGAAAAAAGATCAGGGATTAAAAAATAGTTTAGGAATGTGTGGATGAGTTCGCGTGAGCGTTAATCATGCGATTTGACCAGCAGAACGAACACCAGTATGAGAAGTACGGACACAATACTTGACAGGACGACGACCACAACAAATCCACCATTACTTACCTTTCGTTCTGGTATTTTCGGCAACCGAGAATACAGACGAATACTATGATGCCGACCACCAACAGTACCACAATTACCAACAACGCGACCGTTATCCGAAATATACTGTTCACTGTGTTTTCTATCCTCCTTGTCGTGTCGTAACTATCGTAAATCAGCCCTGAAAGCAACAACTGTCACTGAATCTCCTCCTGGGTTCGACGGTTCGTTTAAAATTTTGGTATACGCTATGTATTTGACTTCTATTTTTTGAAGTGTGTTCAGTCAGCGCTTTTCCTCCCTTAAAGAGCACAGGGCACTTACGAAAAGGAAGTTGAACTACTCTTTTAAATATCTCCTCTGAAAATTTTCTATGTTTTATGCTTTTGCACAAATCTAACTATTTTTCTTCCTATCAGAAATTTTCTATGGTTTTTATGCTTTTAGCCATAAATCTAACTGATTTTTGTTCTTTCCTATTCAGGAATTTCCATCAAAGCCGCTGCTATACAATTAAAGGAGGAATTCACGATTAGAATGAAGGTCGAAGAAGGAGTAATTCACCTAGTTGAGGGACCCGCGGACCTCCTGAGGGTGCGGACTGACGCGCAATTGGCACCGAAAAAGTTGACCTCGGCGACCTATCATGGCTCAATCTTGGCGCGGTGGCCGAGTCCGCCCACCGATCATCTGATCACTCGCCGCAGTTCAATACGTGGCGAGTGATTAGATAGCTGAGAGAGCGTAGTGTTGAAGAGGGCACAGCGATGAGAGTCGCATCAATGCTCAAATCAACGGGCAAGGAAGGGGTCCCATTTCTCGGGTTCTGGGCCGTTTCTCATGGTTCTTCCTTCTTTCGTGTACCACTCACCATCCCTAGGTTAATTTGAAATGGGTTGCTTTTTCATCGTGAATTCGTCCTTTAAGGCAACCATCGGAATCAACATTGGCGGTCAAGGGAGCCCAGAAAGAACGTGGGGGTGCGAAGTGAATTAAACGAATAAAAAATCAAAATAACCACTGTAAATTGTGTGGTACGAAGGCATGTTATAGAGTTCAAAGAAAACAGAAAGTGCGATAAAACACGCTGTACGAACTCAGAGAAGCAGCCGCTGTTTCAGCGCCCGATAACTCACCAACTACGGCTGGTACATGCATCCCTAGGACCCTAGCGCCCTTGTAGCGCTCTTTCAAGCGGTGTCATGGCGCATCTGGCGACGACTGCCATAAGCTCTTTTCTATCCACCCTAGAGATTACCTCACCTCTAATCCCGGGGTTCGTCTTTAAAGAGTTCGTAGCGTCTTGCTGACGAAAGCTCCGCGACGGTTTTGAATGAATCTAATGGTTACTGCTGTATCAACTCATGGGTTGGTGGGGTCTGGGATCACCTTCCACACTTCCACCCACACAACCCAATGACGTCATCAAAACCGCTCCGCCCCCAGTCATTGCACCATCCACCCATGACTTTGTGTCCTACTAGCCCAACATAGTCTCGGATTATTCTCACTATCTTTTCAGTTATTTTTTTCATTTATTTTCACATTTTCCGTTTGAAATCAAACGAAATCAAAAAAGTGAGGATTAATGAAGTTTTTATGTACCCACGTTCTTGAAGAAGTGGCACCCAAGTAAATCGCACCCATGCGTGCCTAAATATGGAGGATCCTACTATATCAGTATATCCCTGGAAATTCCGAAAGTGCTTCGTGGGCTTTCACTTGCATAAACAGCCGCTGCGTTCCGAATTTAGTTGGGACGCTCACTCAGAAAAGGCGTAAACAACTGAGCGCGATTCTCATCATGTCCGTGGGGAATTCAAACACGGCGAATGCCATGTTCCGAAATCATTCCATCTTCAGTCGTTGTCAAATCATTATTTCTCATTGTCGGCTTTTTTCAATGGATCATTTCCCATTCTTTTGTGCCACACCACCCACAGTCATTTCTAATTCAAAGCTTTCGGGAGAGCCCCGGATATCATAAGATGTACCGGAAACATCGAAACAAATGGGAATTTCCGAGGAAAGGCAATGGGTCCGATCTCTAAGAAAAAGTAAGAAATAAGGGAAATAGAGAAGAGAATAGTCACGGAAAGCGTAAACCGAGGATAAAAGTTGGGATGGTCAAGGGACGGGTTCACCATGTATTCAGCATTTCTTTGAAATCGCCGCATTATTTGAAGGCTTGTTTGGCCTATCCATTACCAAGCCATTTTTTTGATACCTTTATACGGAGTTTGTCCCTCGGAAAAACTTTTGCTGCTTTGACCAAAATAGGGCGATTTAATAGGCACGGCATGCGGGACCGGGCATTAGGGATGTTGTCTTGGCTTCGCGAACTTCGCAGTTTCTAGAAGCTGCAATGAGCGCAGGGGTTTTGTATGTGCCGTGAGTGTGTAGAAGTATGAAGCAAAAGCTCCCGTCATTATCAAACAAAGAATTTCCCTTGTGATTTGTTTTTTGGCGCATGTGAGCGAGAGAGACGGCAGCGCTGCGAGGAAGAGGAGATGCCGAGAGATAACTTCGTATAATGTAGGGCGAGACGCCAAAGTTACGACGTAAGCAAACCAGCCCTTTTGGCACTCGGCTGGGACCGTATGCTGAATGTTGGGGAGGGGATGGTGTCCCCGACGGTGGACGGACAACTTCAACGCGGTCCTTAGAACCGCCACAATTTGGCGCTTACCTTAGAACTAAGCCTTAAAGAGAGGACGGGTCCGTCCCCTCTCCTAGGCTTAGTCCAAGGGTGAGCAGACCGGTCCTTCTGGCGAAGCTACTGGACCAGCTGCACCACTTGCGTCAGTACTCTCCTATCGTACCAACCGAGTTGAAGTAAAGACGTCGTCGACCGTTGGGGACCCATCCCTCTCCCAACATTACAGACTACCCGGTCCCATCGATGTGCCCAAAAAGTGCTGCGTTGTTAACGTCCAGCTATACCGCGTTTGTAGGACTGCACGGACAGTACACAACCGGTAGCGCGCCTCTAGGCCATTGTTGCCACATTTTGAGAACGACAGCCTGTCGCGTCCACGTGCTTTTTAGACCTCTCTAATCACTCTAGGAGGTATTTTGCTACTTCTTGGTACCTATCCCGACACATTGAGGATGGAATACCTGAATAAAAATCCCAGAACCCACATAGAGGCAGGTTACACAGATGTAGACGGTAACGGTATCATATTACGGTTGTGTGTGGGTGTTAGAAAATAATTTTGGGGTTTGGTTTTTATTAGAGAGTTGTAAAGGATGAAAACAAAAGAGAGAAGAACGAATCAAAAGGAGAAGCTATAAAAATAATATAAAATTTTGAAATTCCTCTAAAACCTCAAAAATTTCTCGCAAATTCGTTCGATTATCGGAAAGGTCATGAAATAGCTAAAAATAGAAAATAAAAAAGAGAACGGTCAGAAAATCAGCTATTACCCAATAATCCATTAAGAATCGCCTTCTGCTCCTCACGCAATGAGGCACTGTATGGATCGAGCCGAGTCATCTTCTTACCTCACTTCATCACCTGAAAAAAATCAATCACTGAAACGATCAAATTATAGTATTCTATTCAGAAAAAGCGACACGTAAGAAAATGCTCGGAAAAAATCGATAAAGAAAATCGAATAAGAAGAAAGAAAGACTTCGAAGATGAACATGTAAGGGGAATATCGATTTTTTAAAAATTTCAAAGGCTCAGATAGGCCAAGTGCAAAGTGAGGTAGTAAATGCTTGACTGGACGCATGATGTGACCAGTGAAAAACTCGAAAGTAAGGCTGCAACATGAGTGACAGCGAAGAACTAATAAGGAAAATTGAGTAGGGTGGGAACGGGGAAAATTCAATACTAAGCTGACGCCTTCAGCCGTTTTTTCTTCACCATTCATACTCTTTAGACAACGGCTATGCAGAACCAAGTTACCAGCGCTCTCATGGAAGTGTCGCAAGAATCCGCGCTATCCCCCAGTATCACGGGAATTTTGGAAAGGCCTTTTTCTGATCTTTTTTGATGTTAGTGACGGTTTTTGGCCACAGTTTGCCATGCTAAAATTATAAAGGCTTAGTTATGTGTTTCAAAAAGTTATGAAAGGGTGGAAACGGAGTTGGAAGGGCCACTCCATTGTGCTTCGCGTCTCTGAAGCTAAGGATCAGGATAAACGATATCGATAATGCTACAGATAAGAGCTTTAGAAATACGCTCATTTGTAAATTTCATTGAGGATTGGCATTGAGGGAATAAGGGATTGCGGCTTTTTATTAAGGATCAACCTCGGTCAGAGCGGAGGAGCGATCCGTGGCGAACATTCCTACCTACATAAGGATTGCCCAAGGAATGCATGGGATTGAACTGGCAGAGCGCCTCGATGATTGCTCGTTCGCGACCACCGTGAAGCACCTAAAACAGAGATGAGATAGAAAACTTGAGAAGAATAGAAACTTTCAATGCCCTTAACAAAGCCTATCTTCAAATCCCATGTGTTCTCTTTGTATTTCCTAACTCTTCAGTGCTAGTAATATCCAGTAGTACCATATACGCAGATCCCAATGAAGTGGCCCCCTCAACTCTAACTTCCCTCCTCATCGAAGTACTAAACGGACGGCCTCCTTACCAATTAATTAGGTACTCGCCCCAAAGGCCCGTCGCGTGACAACGAAGGCAAAGTCGGCCGGACGAGTTCAGCACGATGGAATGAAGACGCAATGGAACCCTTTTTTTACCTTGACGAAAAACCCCTATAGGACGCGCGCGACTCGTCCGCTGACTTTGCCTTCTTGACGCGCGACGGGCCTCCTGGGGGTACCCCAATAATTTGGACTGCTTAGTACATGACACACTACCTTGCCTTCACGAATAAAATCAGTGACCCTTAAAAGCAGAAATCGAACGGGCTTTCAGGTCGGTCAAGGGAATGGTGAGCCAACCGGATCGGTTAAGAAAGCGCCCAGTGAAATCGAAAGATGGTTCTTTGCTCAATAATGCGCGATATTCAACGAGATGACTAAGACACCCAAGGTGCATGTTAACCACCCTCTGCTTCTCAGAACGCCCCATCGCGTCTTCGGGACAGGGGTCCTAAGCGTGCTGTCTTCGAAACGAACACATCTATACAGACCTGCTTGCTGGCCGCCTGTCCTGAGCCTTGACAGTTGAAATCTAAAGTGAAATTCTCGTAATCTCGTTCCATAAGATGCTGGGTCATGGGCGACTCCGCCAACAGGCGGGAATCGAACCCGCACACTCTTCTTTTCCCTAGGGTCAGTTGTACCCACCGATTATACCAATGTGCAGGGGGGGGGGCACCTGTTCCACCTAGCTTCTAGCTTTTCCCATGGTATCCATACGCCGTACTTACCAAGCGCTCAAACAACTTATAAAGTATTGCCGCTAGGCTCAATCGGTCGTAGATGGGCGAAGTTGAAAGCCAGTCCATAACTCTACCTGGTTCCCCAACAGAAAAATTAACGCAAAAAACAGTTATGGAGAACACCTTTGACCGCTGCTGTACATCACTGCTGGAAATTAAGTAGGACCTGAATAGAAAAAAAAGGACAACAAAATGGCATGTCATCGAAATGGCTCCGGAACGGGAACATTGTCAACATTATCGGGTGGGTGGTTCTAAGCTGAGATTTGCTTTCACGGCTAAGTGCAGCAAATATTTACCGTTGCTTGAGTTGTCGACGAGGTCCGAAGCGGCTCTATTACTCATTTTCTATTCACACTAAGAGACTCAATACGATGCGTCTCAGGAAGGATTGATTATGCCACTTATGTGGAAAAAGTCGTGATAATAATGCAAAAAATATAGAACGCAAAGAAAAATAAGAGGTGATCGATGTTTCCAGGAGTGAATTAACGTAGCATCCTTATTGATGCACAGCAAGATACCTAGACGAGAGCCTTAGTAAGTATATCATAGTCATATAACAAGTGACTGGAGAAGAAAGAATACTTTTTTATTTATATTTAGTAATTTTTATTTATATTTACGATATTTTTATTTAATTTTTATATCATTTTAATTCTCACTGCTGATATACAATGCAGAAGCGATGTTAAGCACAGAATGGTGACAATCGCAATAGAGAAGAATAGAATAGAGCACAGATTATGTAGAATAAAGTAGATTATATACTATATGACACAGTATCATGACAACTATGAGATGAAGGAGGGGGGGGGGGGGGGAAGAGGGGTCCATGGTTCGCTAGGAGGAGGAAGGGCAGTGCCCGGCCATACACTGCAAGCCCTAGGCGGGACAGGGCTCCGGATACCAGCTTAGTAGGTCCGCCAACCCCCCTCCTAAGGAATCCAAGATCACTTATTCTCGTAAACCAAAGAAGTTATAAATTACGTTCATTACAAAATTATGCTAAGGGAAACTGCTGATGATCCGACAGGGATGGCTCAAACGGACGTTAAAGATGAAGAAGGATATTAGCTGGGATTCGTGAACGGTTCTATGGATGGCCTCCCTCCAAAGTCTAGCCCTGATTAGTTGACACAAGGTATTAATCGGAGAAGATGTCGTCGGCTGCAGAAGCCATTGTATAAACAATGTTCTCATATTTTGATCTGGTCCTACACCACAACGCGCGGAAATCTACGGTAGTCAGGGGAATATTAAGCGCACCCAATTTCGGACGGGTCACTGATATTTTTCAGACCGGATTTTACTTCTAAGTTTGGCCGTTCAGACAGGTAACTATAGTTCAGGGTCAACAAGACCCAAAAGTGCGCAGCAAGGGGCTGAGACCATGCCTTGTCCGCTACACACGCTGCTCCTCTTATTAGTCGCTGCATACGTGGTGCGACTAATAAGAAAAAATAAATAAAAGTAAAGTAAGTAAATCGTCCTCCCGTGTGTCACGTGCTCCCTCGCGTTTTCCCTCTCCTCGCAGCACTGTGTCTCTCCGTCGCACCTCGGCAAACCTCTCAAAGAAAATTTCAATGTCTTTTTTGGCGATGCTAATGCTTTATGCTGTTCTCTACACTAACTTTCCTCATCGCACTCCTTGTCCGAATGAAGAAAATAAACACTAAGTGAATCCCGACCTGTGCCTTTAAGGGCGAAGAGCAATAATTAACCGAGGTTGCAGGATATGCAGATGAGCCAGCCAATATTATCCGAGTACCAGAGTTGTTTTAGAATTATTTTCAGTGACTAATAGATCACTTCTGATGTTGGGCCTTCTGCTATAAGCTCTTAACCTAGCAGCCGTATATAGTAGATTTACAAAACTACATTTACCCCATACTTTTGCAAGCCGCAGCCAGAGTACCTATCTGCGTTATTGCAGGGTAGTGAATCTCGTTCGAATCGAATATTATATTCAAAGGTCCATGAATCGCTTAGAAATCTGCAATCGGTTGGCTCCAAAATTCATTCGCTTAGATCAAATGTATTCATCATATGCCCAGCGATCACGAGTGGAAACGGAAGCATGGCGTATCGAAAACGAATCGATCAACACCGAATCCCTCGATCATCTTTTTATCACCTTCTTGTTAGTATCAAGTTGAGTAACTATACTGTCTCTTCCCTCGACAACCGATGTGTCAGCGTTAAAGCTCTCGAGCTGATTTTACGCAAATGGGCAAATGGACTAAAGCAGGAACCTCTGTCGTAGACGGCATCTTATGCGGTGCATTACAAAAAGCTTTATGGGGTCGTATCCTTCGAAAGCGGGCGAACGGGTTCAGACAAAAAGCGATCTAAAGGCAGCATTCGGCGGCAACCAATGATGTCCGCCGCAAAAAGGTGAAGTTGCGACGGCGGACATCTCAAGAGCGACGAAGATGAATGTACGAAAATATTCACTGTGAGAGGCGTAGGGCAGCGGTGAGTGGCGCCGCCGGCTGACCACGTGGGGGAAGGATGAGATATTAGTCGAATCGCACCTACACCAGCCAGTTATTCCATTTTTCTGAAACCTTCAATTGAAATCATTCTCATCTGTCAGGCTAAACATCCAAATTTGCACATCGACTGATCACAAAAGTCAATGTGTTGGCCAAAAGCGCATTGAGCGCCACAACGATCGAGAATGGAAGTGGAATGCGTGGCGCGATTTGGACAAGGCTAAGTAACAACGGTAATCACATTTATTATTTACTAATGAAAAGCCGTATATTTCGTATATTTCCATTTGGAAAAGGAAAAAATGCGGTGCTGTTAACGTTCAGAAGACGAAGGATATGTAAAGAACTAGAAAGTGTGATGTTAGTCCCAAGAGCCAGCATGCCGTGCACATGAAGATCAACAAATTTTACGGGGAAATTATGGAAATTCACATTTTCGTAAACAACGACCTAAGGCTGCTTTCCCAAGAAGCTGGAAAGTTGGAGCAGTGCTACAAGCGGCGTACTGCGGTCTCTGTAGGATTCTGTGAAAAAAGTGAGATTGGTGGCAAGTGATACCGTATCGTCAAAAAACAAACGCTGCAGACGTCTTTTACACCATTTCTTTTCAAAATGATATTTTTGACTAATTTTTGACAACCTTGTTTCATAGTGTGAGTCTAAGCGGAAGTAGACTGCGGTATTGCAGGTTAGCGCGCTTGAAGCTAGGCTGACCTGATGTTACAGTACTTCCTTAACAAGTCCGATAGATGATATTTTGTAGGTTTCCAATTCGGACTATCCTTGAGATCTCAATTTTTCTGCATTCTTCTCTTAATTAGTCTTTATATTATTGTATTGTATTTATTATTTATTTATTTTATTTATATTATTGCACGTGGAGGCGCGTATAAGCTACATCTTAACATCAGTAAAACTAGGGAACACAGAACAATAACTAAGTGAACCAGCTAGGCAGCAATCGAGATAAAGAGGTGATTCTCCAGGACGAAATTCCGAAAAGCAGGGATGTTTACAGATGTAATTTGGAAGGTTACTGTAGGACCAATTTGAGTTGTACTCGAGCAGAAATGTGTTCAGTAAGTCAGTCAGTGTTTAGAATCAACGGTACAGAGATGCAATATCTGTAGATGAGGAAACGCTTTTTTGTTGCAAAGAATAAAGAGCAAAAAAACAAAAAAAAAAGGATGGGTTCTCTTTGATTTCTGCCGAGCGCCTCTATTTCTGAACTACTAAGATTTCAAAGGGTGAAATAAGCATATCTAGCGAATTGGCCAGACGGTATGGCGCTGTGATGCAATTCCCACCTCGCTTTCCCACGTTATTCTGTGGACTTCCCTGACTTCGCAAGTGTTGTAGCTCTTCTTTATCTCACTAAATGCGTGGTTGGTTTCAATTAACGGTTTTCTGCCACAGTATATCTAGCAGTGTTTTGTCCAGTCTCATCAACGGGTAGGAACAGCTATTTTCGAGTTGGCTCGTAAGAGGGATAATCGTTAATTTTACACTTCCAGGTCGTTCGTATGACTGTTGGCAGCCTCTGGTATCCAATGTCCATTGTTGATCGGCTGGTGATTCATTGTGGATAACGCTTACAAGCGCGTAAATCAAGATGACTTGTTAGGAGCGATCACGATGAATTAGAGGAAAAAGGTGGAGTATTATTCGCCACCCCGAATAGCGTTGAGACCTGGTTTAGGGTTCTGGCGTTTCGACCGAATAGGCGTTTTTGAGAGGTCAAGTCACATTTGTTGTTTAATTTTTAGGCTTGAGAAGGCGACTGAAGGAAATAAATGATCGCGAAAAGAAAAGGAGGGGGAATTCCTTATTAGCTGATGAAAAAAAACAAAAGTTAGGCCTAATAAAGTTACGCTGATTTTGACGGGAGCTGTAGTCAAGGTTATCACAGTTCCCACGAATAGATCAAGGCACGGAGAGCGCGATGTTGGCCTTTCACGATGAAAAGTGCGTTGATTGGCTGAAGCAGTCGTTGAAATCGCCACCGCCCCCCCCCAAGGCACCCACTAGCTTGCGTGGGTGATTCAAGGGTGTGTCGCCGCAGCGCACGGGGATGTGAGATTCCAGGAGCATGGGTTAGCGCTATGGATATAAATTAGTTGCGGTAAACTTCGTTCCATACGTCTGGCCGCCTTACGGGTGGGGGGCTTGCCCATACTAAGTGGAAATGATTGACAATGAGGATTCCCTAAAGGAGTTTCTTCTGCTTTTTTCGTCACTTAGCGTACCATCAAAAACCTCCCCGCCACCCTCTTATGGATTCCTCAGAAAATCGCTGATCGCTTGCTTTAGTGGTACGTAAATCAAGGTCAGACAGGAACTAGCAAATAAATGAGATGGCCTGCACAGTTGTGGAGCTGATTCCACTGAAAGCGATCATATTTTGTTTTATGAAGCTGCCATACTTTGTCGTCACTATTTGAACATCGAAGTCTGACTTTGGACGAAAACAGAACCGTTTGCACAGGCATGAGCAAACGCGGAACAGGTAGAAAAAGTCATGAGACAGGAAACGCAATCATATCGAGACAGCAAATAGAACGGTTAGAATGGAAATTTCTCGAGCCATACCACCCTATTTTTATTCACATATTTATTCATTAAATATTTTATATTCATATATTTATTTATTGTAAGTGTTTATTTCCATAGGACTAGACGAGGCGGATGGCTCGTAAATGTAATTGCCATTTTGTAGGAGTCGTTGGAGCGGTTACTGTATCCTCGCGAGCAAGACGAACGCGAGGCTGACATTCAGAGATTATAATCGTCGGACTTCTTTTGTTGCCTTCTTAGCTGAGAGGGAGCGCTTTTGCCCTCTAGCTAGAG